CAATTTTATACGAACAGTAACAAACAAGAAAAACCATGGAAGAACAAGGAAAACCAACAAGAATATTGAGAGAGCGTACCTTTGGAGGGTGGTTTGTCTACTGCAGAGAAAAAAAAAGAATATGTCGTCTGAAATCTTTGGGGTGGAGGTTGGACTTATGTTGGCCTTTATTATTTATACCTAAACCCTACAAATTCTCCAAACTCCAACACTTAATTAAATCCAAATCTATCTCCTTTTGAATACAGGTAAATTTAAATGGACTTTTTCCAAGTCCTAATTGAATACACCCACATTTAAATGGACATTTTAAAAGTTCAAACAAGTCTAGATTGAATACACCCAAACTGTTATAGACATTTTAAAAGTTTATATAAATCCAAATTGAATACACCCAGATTTTTAAAATCTTTTTAAATACTTTATAATCCTAATTGAATACACCCCCCAAGAATCTGGAGAACCAATTATATATTTATACTCTCAAGACACTTGGGAAGGAAACTTGAAGATTGATACTCTAGCATAGCATGAGTGGGGAAAAACTCCTTTTTATTAGTGAAGAAGAAGGTAATGGGTTTATATAGAACCAATCAAGTATCCACCAATAGACGCAACTTTTGATAGCAAAAGATGCTTCTATATTTGATAACCGCATTCAACAAAGCAATTGCTTTTGAATGCTAACAAATAATATCAATTGAATTTGAAATAACGCAATTGTTTGAGCAAAACTGACTTTCGTATTTTTTCGCTCAACCATAAATTTAAATATTATAATATTTAATTAATATTATAATTATTTAATTTCCAACATGTTTTAGCCAATCTATTATCACGTTGCGTCAATTAGAATAGTTTAAAATATCGCTATAGCGTACTTATCAAATAGAAAACAAAGAAAAACATTGTTGATTCCAAAAGTTGAATCTAACAGGATACAATCGTAAAATGAGAAAACACAAAATGTAATATAGTATGTGACTTTATTATAATTTTAAAAGCAAATGGTCCATAGGATGGGTAAAGTTTTGGAAGAGAGATTAAATTAAACCATAGTGCTACCCTAGATTAAAAAAATGTTAAAACAACAATTGACTTTATGCTCTATGGTTTGACAATTTTGACAGTACTTTTAGAGTACCTTCACGTAGAATTTAACTATTCAATTTTGAATAATTTTCTCTTTAAAGATTTAGCATTGCTCCTTCACTTGGCAATTTGACATTGAAGAAAGATGCTCTAAATTTTAGCAAAACAAAAGGAAAGACAAGAAGAATGCCAAAGTAAGAAACACCTTTTCATAGCTGCCACAGTCTTCAGATAGAGTAGGTAGGGTAGGCTTATCTTGATCATGATTCTTAATATCCTTTCGGATTTTGGTGGACTTGGTCCCCTTGCTGTATCTCCATAAAATACAGTGCAATATTAGATGCCAAGATCCCTTCTCAAAACCCATTAAACCAAACAGGGTTGTGGTAATTTCTCCTTCAAAATTTAGTAAATCAAATCCATTGAGAATGAATGCATCTTTGCTACTTTTGGTGACTAAATTTATAGAATGGGGTAGATGGTATTGATACTAAAGTTTCTTATAAATTTTTTTTCGATTATCTTGGTTCTTCTCTTGAAAATAAACCAAGTTTCGACATTTGTAATAAACTTCTTCCACTTTCACGCACATGTAAGGAAAACACATAACAAGGCATATATTTTAAAACACAAAGAATGATAAAAGGAACAAAAGATAGTTTAATAACCACAATAAACAAGAAAATAGAGCAAAATTCAAGAATTGCATGCATATATTGGAAAGGCCATAAGAGTAAAACAATATTTTCGCTAATATATACATAGCATAACATAAATATATTTTATTATATGGGTAATTTTGGGAGAGGGGGCTAGGGCCATGTCGGGTCTAGACATAGATTCGTCCTTGCGCGCATGCAATTCAAACTTTTAATGATTTGAAAAACGATATTCCAAATGCATTTTTATTATAATTCTGAAAAGTGTGGTGGAAGGAATCAAATATTTCTCCCATTATAAAGTTTCAAGTGTTTGTTTTCCATTCATTCTTCATTATCTTGGTTCTTCTGTTATGTAAAAAATAAACCCTAATTTTGACATTCATCATTCTTCCCCTCCTCCCCCTCTCTACAAAAACAAGCACCCCAAGGTCCATGTCATAATTCAAAGTCGCTAAAATGTGAACGTAATAGCTTTTGAAGAAATAGAATCCAAAGTCTTCAACATGTAAAACCCATTGATCAAGAAATTAAAAAAGAAGAAAAAGAAGTCTCCCTTGAACCCCACTAGGACATATTTATTTATTATTTATTATTATATTATGCTTTTAGTTGGGACTATAATGAGTTGGTGGCTGTACGAAAAATACATTCTTTACGCAGCAGCTCACCTTACGTACTCAATAATATCGTCAGCATCATCGAGCAGCCATGACTTTTGTAGAAGAAGACGAAGATGGAAGTGTGTGAACGCGGAATGCAACAAGTAAGGTCCACTAAAACGCGGTTGAGCGAATAATCAGTCACTTTGTTTAAATATTTACTAGCTCTCCGCACGCGCTTCCGCGCCTACGAGAGGCTTTTTGTAAAAAAAATTAAATTTATTTTAGAATTAAAAAAGAAAATGGGTAGTTGTATTCCATAAAAATAGGATCCATTATCTGATTTTTATTTTAGTTTTATTTTTTTTAATATGAAAAAGTGTGAATTTACCATGTTGGCGCTAAATCTGAACAGATAGAAATGAGTGCAACTTACAATCGAGGTGGACGATCGAGAGATCGATTGAATATTGGATGCCGATTCTTCCTGTCCTTGGATGCTGATCCTGAATAGAAAGAAGTCAAAAATTTAAATTTATTTTAGAATTAAAAAAGAAAATGGGTAGTTGTATTCCATAAAAATAGGATCCATTATCTGATTTTTCTTTTAGTTTTATTTTTTTTAATATGAAAAAGTGTGAATTTACCATGTTGGCGCTAAATCTGAACAAATAGAAATGAGTGCAACTTACAATCGAGGTGGACGATCGAGAGATCGATTGAATATTGGATGCCGATTCTTCCTGTCCTTGGATGCTGATCCTGAATAGAAAGAAGTCGAGACTCGTGAGGTCTATGGAACCGGTGTGGAACCAGCCTAAGACCCTCCGATGCCGAAGTAAGTTTGTTGTTTTAAAAGCTCTTGCTGTTGACCATATAGAAGTATAAAAGTCAAGCTGAAAAGTCTTACCCTGTATTGTAGTGGAAGGGCCTATTTATAGAGGGCATTTAGTATGCTCTTAGTGCTCATTTTCGATGTGGGACTCGTGGGAGGGCCTTCTGAGGTCGACACGAGTCTTTAGATATTTTGGGCGGGCACTTCGAGGTTGATTCTCTACAATCGGTAGTGGATGCCGATTGCAGACGAGTTGGGCTCGTAGTGGCTGTTCGCAGCCTTGAGACAATGCCATCGGTGGCCGATGCCGATTGTCCGAGGCCTTGGGTGCTTGGGCGAATTTATAAGATCCACGTGTCGTCGTACGAGTGCAGGGTCAGATATGGTACAAACATACCATATTATCCTCATTTAATTAATAATTTCAATTCTTAATGTTTGCATTAACCAAGGGCATTTTATGGTATTTTGAATGTTTCACCATTCTTTGCCTTTTGCTTGATACTAGCTTTTCCACACGCACTTCCGTGCCTAAGAGAGGCTTTTTTTTATAAAAAAATTTAAAATTTATTTTAGAATTAAAAAAGATAATGGGTAGTTGTGTTTCATAAAAATAGGATACATTATCTGATTTTTCTTTTAATTTTAATTTTTTAAAATATAAAAAAGTGTGAATTTACCGTATTATCCTCATTTAATTAATAATTTCAATTCTTAATGTTTGCATTAACCAAGAGCATTTTCTGGTATTTTGAATGTTTCACCATTCTCTGCCTTTTGCTTTATATATATAGATAGATATATAGATACAAATAATATTTTACTTTATTTATACAAGAAATATAATCTTTAATTACTAATATTCTAATAGAAATATTGCAAAATGTTAGTGAGTTTTTTTTTAATATTTATACAAACAATATTCTATTTTAATCTAATCTATATTATGGGGAGGGAGATTTGAATTCAAGTGCAAAATGGGGAGCACATTCGCTATAACCAACTTAGCTAAACCCATGTCTGCATTAGTGAGTTTTTATTTGCTTCACACATTTCTTATATGCAAGTAAATTGTGAAAAGTTTTTTTTTGGAAACAAAAAAGTAAATTATAAGGAGAAGTTTATAGGACACCATCTATTAGCTAAATCAAATTTAAAGGTAGGAAGAGCTGAAACATGCATGCAGTTAAATTGATGAACCAAACTAGTAAGCATCTGCTATAAATTTTGCCTCATGAAAAGTAAGTTGATGAATGAGAAATGTGAAGAGTCAAATTCTATGAATGAGAAATGCTATAATTTTGACAAATGAAGATACTGAGCAAATAAGTTGTAAATTCAAGTCGTTTTAACTAGTCAAATTATATGAATGAGAAATGCAATAATTTTGACAAATGAAGAAAATGAGCAAATAAGTTGTAAACTCAAGTCGTTTTAACTATTATGAACATTACGTCAGTTGGCTAGAGCAATGAACCGCTTCTTAGTATCTAAGTTTAAATTATCTTCTCGGCACTCTATAAATTAAAAAAAAAAATTATGAGAGTGGAAAAAAAAAAAAGGCAATAGGATACTAGATAATCTTATAAATATTAATAGAAAAACCAATGGAGAGCAGAAACTTGAAGAAAACTCCATATTTATTAACACGTGTAAGCAGTACCAAGTGACGACTAGGTCTTGGATGACACTTGAATCATGACTTTTTGACAATTTCCATTCTAGTAACTGCTGTACGCGCCACTTCTACTATTTGATTTCAAGTTCTATTCGTAAATAAAACACACCCCAAATTTACGCATAATTATTTAGATGGTTGCCTTTGGCTCGGTTTTTGAAGTGACTCTCTCAGAAGGAAAGAAAATTCAAAGGGGGCGTACGCAACCAATATAGACTTCGCCGAGACTGACCACCTTCCCAATCACATTTTCACATTAATTCACAAAACCCAAATATTGCTTCCTATTTCTAATCTCTTCTCTTGGCTTCTCCGAAGTCCAAAGGCCATAGTTTCTCTTCACCGGCAACAAGCGAAGAACCTCCCTTTCTTTCTTTCTCTGAGCACCTGAGGTGATTTTATCTTCTGGGTCTTTTTCAATCTTCTGTCTTTTTATTTTCTGAATCATTTTTTCTATTACCTTTTGATTTCTTGAAGTTGGGTTTGCCTGAATAAGTCTCTAATCTACATAGATGATGTTTTTTCTTTGTTAAACCTTTCTTAACTCTCCCTTTCACCTGTTTGTTTTGCTTTTGCATTTTGGTTAAACTTTAGTTATGTTAAAGTTGACACCTTTTTAGTAAACTGGTGGATTCACAACCAGATTGGAATAGCCCACATGATGAGTGTTGCTCTTCATTTGGATCTTCTTTGTAAAATATCATCATCAAGCAGCCAGATTAGCTGCATATTTGTTTATAGTTTTGGTTGTTTCCAAAGAAAAAAAAAGAATTTCGGAGTCAATGCATGCTTGTTTCGGTGTTGTATTGTACTGGACTACAAATAATTAACAGGAGTTGAAGAAAATTAATTCTATTCTATTCCGGACCTATCAACTTCCAAGTTGTCTAGACAGACAATTGTCAGAGGTTGAAGGCTTGAAACAAAAATGATAACAAGGGTAAATGGCTTTTTGAAACGTTAGTTATGAATTTGTGAGTCACATTTTAATCTAGTTTTTTGCATATTTTATTGCTATGTGAAGTCATACTAATCTGAATGAATGGATGAAATCTAGTTGGGATACAAGGACAAGTCTTTGTGTTGCGTAGAATTTATTAGTTCATTCTTCATGAAGTTTTTGAATTAGTTCCCGATTTGGAGCCGTTGGATACATTCTTGAAAGTTTACATCTAACTCAAATCCTTTGATATTGCATTTCCATACAATTGTGCTTCTGGATAACAGTGTTCTTACAATGGTTGGCAGGTCTTGAAGTGTTCATTCAGTTATGAGTTGTTTTTCCTTCTTACGTAGACGGGTGAACTCATCAAGAAAACCCGGTTCTGATGTAGATGAAGGTAGGCTGCAACGCTGATCATAGTAATGATAGCGGAGCTTGATAATTTTCTGGATAGATTATTTTCCTACAAAATACTTATATATCTTTTATCAGTAGTAGAGGAACTAAAATTCTTCCCCAATTTTATTCACCAAATGATGCGGAAAATGACATGACAAGAAGATCTTAGTTGTGAAAAATAAATGAGATCAAGGGAGAAACCAATTATGAACAAATGAAATGTTACCACATCAGTTGGTATCCATAATTTTGTAATTTATTGTGGTGTCTGTAGCATTACTCTTATGAGATTATTGTTCATTGACAAGCTCATATCCTAAGATAAGACACTTTTCTCATTCCCTTCCCATAAGTTTCTTAGTAAGTTTTCTCTGTAAACAGAACTCTCTGGCATTCCTGATGTTAAACAATACACTTACAAAGAGATGAAAATTGCAACTGAAGATTTTAGTCCAGCCAATAAGATTGGGGAAGGTGGTTTTGGTTCTGTCTATAAGGTATATTCGGATTTACTGTCTTAATATATGTTTTGTATACCTGTGGTGCATTGATCTCAATTGAAATATTATTTCTCCCAGGACCTTGTGAATGACACGTATTTTAATTGCTATTGTGAATCATCAGGGACAACTTAAAGATGGAAAAATGGCTGCTATTAAAGTTCTTTCAGCTGAATCAAAACAAGGGGTGAAGGAGTTTTTGACAGAGATTGACGTGATCTCAAAAATAGAGCATGAAAATCTAGTTAAGCTCTACGGCTGTTGTGTTGAAGAAAACCAAAGAATTTTGGTCTACAACTACCTTGAGAATAATAGTCTTGCACAAACTCTTATTGGTAATTACCTAGCTTTGTTCTTGAATTGAAATTTCTTGCTGGTGTTTACAAGTGAGTGAGTTAATGCATGTGCATGTGAAATTTGCGAATGTGTTACCTAATGTACTTGGGTATGACAAAGGAGAAGTTCTCATGCAAATAGTTGTCGGGAATAAATTTAAGTATATAGTTCTGTATTCTTGCCTTATACATTTTGAGTTGTGCGATTTCTGTTATCTTAGGTCCAGTGGTCTATTTCCATTAGAATTGATTTAGTCCTTTTCTGAGATCAATTTTTTTATTCTTGAAACTTATGTTCTTAAACTGTTTCGTTTCAGGTGGGGGTCACAGTAATATCCAGTTCAATTGGCGAACTCGGCGTGAAATATGCATCGGGATTGCATGTGGTCTTGCCTTCCTTCATGAGGAAGTACGTCCACATATTATTCATAGGGATATCAAAGCAAGCAATATTCTCCTAGATAGAGACCTAATGCCTAAAATTTCAGATTTTGGTCTTGCAAAGCTTATTCCACCCAACATGACCCATGTTAGCACCCGTGTGGCAGGAACAATGTAAGTTGTGATGATCTCTTTCCTTTTAAAATCGGGAATTGAAATTCAAATCTATTTTTAGTTCCAAAACTAGAGCTACAATATTTTTCCTCAGGGAGACCAAATTCACATTGAGAAGAAATAGTTGAAAACAGTATCACAATATTTACATACTTTGTGTTTACAACTGTGAATCACGTAACTATGCAAATCATTCTTGGATATGCATATGCTCTTAAATTTATCATTTAGTTCTTAGAATATCCTTCTTGGATGAGCTCTTAGTATTAATTATTATGTTCAATGTATGAACAATGCTCTCTCTTCTTTCTCCATTTAAATCTTCCTTTGGATGTCTGTCTATATCTTTGTTGATGTATCGTAATCCAAGCATTTACTGTCTTGTAATTACATCTATATTTCTGGTTTTAGAGGTTATTTGGCACCAGAGTACGCAATACGAGGGCAATTGACAAGGAAAGCAGATATTTATAGCTTTGGGGTGCTCGTTGTGGAAATAGTCAGTGGAAGATGTAATACAAATACACGACTACCAATTGACGAACAGTATCTGCTTGAAAGGGTATTAATTTCAGATTTATTTTGTCCTTACAAGCCTTTTCTTTTAATTTGTTTAAATGAAAAACATTGGATTGCAATTGCATGTGTCATGTGATTTTGGTAGATGCAGTTTTGCTTTCATATTTCCTGGTTAAAAGACCTTTCGTTTCTTAATTCGTTAAAGTAAATTATAGAGTCAAGGAGCAAAATCATTATGGCTTAAGTGATCACAGTAATTTGGGTACTGCTAAACTCCTGTTGGTATTTAAAAGAAAAAAAAATGGTCTTTGACATGCTGCACATAAACTGATAAGGCTTTTGAAGTTGGCAACCTTGTTTCCCATCAATTCGTTTGTTGCTGGACAATTTTGTGCAGATGTTGTTTTTACAAATTTGTGTGTGTGTGAGTTGTGTGTCATAACAGCTTCCTTCATAGCCATGTTGGCTTGTATTACCAAAGAGCGGGTGTGCAAGATATGGTGATGAGGGAAAAGGCTGAATTTTTATTGAAATGCTACTCATTGTTTTAGTCATTGATTCATTTATGTCATATCGACTTCACCTAAAAATATGTTTGATTATTTGTTTTATAATGAATTCTACACTGCAGATAACCAATCATTTACCGTAGGCATAGGCTCTGTTAATGACTAGTGCATTCTTGTATTGCAGACATGGCAACTCTACGAGCGGAGGGAGCTTGTTGGGCTGGTAGACACATCATTGGACGGTGATTTTGATGCCGAGGAAGCTTGTAGGTTTTTAAAGATTGGCCTCCTCTGCACCCAAGACACTCCGAAGCTCAGGCCGTCGATGTCATCCGTGGTCAAGATGCTAAGAGGTGAGAAGGCTGTTGACGATAATAAGATAACAAAGCCAGGGTTAATATCTGATTTCATGGATCTCAAAGTAAGACCCCCTCAGAGTACCAAGCCTGGTAGCACAATGACTACTGCGTCTACCTATAATGCGTCCTCTGGTTCAGACAGCCAGGACAATTCAACCTTGTCTTTAGAAACCTCAGCTGCTGCTACTTCCACCTTCATTTCATCCATGTCATCAGAAACCTCAGCTGCTAATACTACGAGCTTCACCTTCCGCACCGTATGATATGACCTCACAAAATTTGCAGATTTCATTTATTTTTATCCCATTTAGGTTTTTGGGGCCTGCTGTCTTTATGTAAATTGTATATTGTGTTTCTTTCTCTTTAATTTTTTTTTTCAGCTAGACCCTTCTAGCCGGAGGTACTCTTTGTAAACGGGTCAAGGTTTGGTAATTCAAAAATTTTGATGATTTTGTTTTTCCTTGCTTTCTCCTACTCAAAGCATAAACACACAACATGCAACTGGAATGAAATTATCTCAAGCTTGTGTTCTATAATCTTGTAGAGTCTATATTTGTATTATATGCTATGGCAAATTTTTTAGTATTGTTGATCATGTTATATCCGTCTCACGCCATGACGTATCTTGACTTGGCAATAGATTATAAGCAAGTAATCTTCTCTTAATACCAAGTTTGACATGTATTAATCAATTCATTTCCGAAAATGACGTGACGTATCTTGACTGTAATTGGATTATAAGCAATTAATTTTCTCTTCATATAGTTTGACATGTATTAACCAAATCATGTACAAGTATGACGTATCGCATCCCGAATTTGATGAAATATAATGAATTTCTTGACTCGGTAATAAATTATAAATTATGTCTGAATGTGCGGTCTTGATTCATTTGCAATTTAGCGACAATATCCTATGATTTAATTTAGTTAGAGTTCTGTAACTATAAACATATATGAAAAAAAACAAGGGAAACCATGATCTGCCAACGAGGCAAACAATTCCCAAATTACATAGGAGCAGAATCAACCTGTTTATGTCTAAGAATTCCGCTAATAAATTCCCATTCACATCACATTGTTCTAATGTTGACAATAAAAATAAAGTATTAAAGTAATAAGCAGATGGTAGGTGTGTGACATTATTATTTATTGAATAGAGAATTGTCAAAGTAACATGAAGTGGTTGTAAGTACTAAAAACCCAACTAAGCAAACATAAAGATTGAAGACTAATGAGGGCAAAAAAAAAAACAAAAAAGGAGGAATGAAAAACACGGGTGTCAAGTGGGTCCTACCGGGTCATAATTATGCCAAAAAAAAAGTAACAAAGTGACAAATGTGACACAAGTGTAATCTCCTCTCCTCTCCTTCTTCCTGTGGAAGCCCAAGCGCCCCCCCTTCTTCACTCTCTCTCTTCTTCCTTTCTACACCTTTTTCAAACTTTTCAAACTCTCTTTTTCACGGGCAATGCCTGTAAAAAGTTAGGGTTTTTACTCTCTCTCTCTCTCCCCCAAATCCTCTTCCTCCGAATCCCCTAGAGCTTCCTCCTTTAAGGCTTTAACTCTCTCCTCTCCGCTGTCGGTGCTTCAACTGTCTCTCTCTCTCTCTCTCTCTCTCTAGGGTTTCCACCATAGCCGGGATTGCAGGTCATCTTCATCTGCTCCGTTTAATTTGTTTTGGAGGAGACTGACATATCCAGGCTACCATTATTGGTCTGGGAGTTGGGACTACTTGTGGGTTTCGTTTCATAGACACTGAGACATTCGCGTCAGAAAAGCTAGAGAGACATTATTTCAAAAAAGCGGAATATGTGCGAATTTTGTATCTGTTCTTTTTAGCTTTTGTGGGTGTTTTTGCTGCTTTTTGGAAGCTTGCATGTGAAGCAATACGAGAGTTGAATGAAAGCAGAACGTGATCCAATTTACTAGTTGGTTTGCGGGAGGTTGGGTCTTCTAGATCCTGCTCTAAATCCGTGAATTTGAGCTGCATCTATTTTCTCCTTTTCAGCTTGGTATTTTATCAGATAAAGCTTTGTACTTGCTCTTTGTTCTTATGTTCTATGGACTTCTTTGATGATTTAGCATCACAGAGTTTGAGTTGTTGCCAATTTCGGATTCAAATTGATGGTTATAGGTAGCAGGGTTTATTTTGAACAGTAATCACTGCTTCTCTGCTAATCTCATACGCCCATAGTTGTATTTATGGAGGACATAGGACTTTTTAAACAAGGTTGGAAATGGCTGCTATCACACAAGCATGTTTACTCGCGATCTCGAACAGCGATCAGTGGATTTAGAGATGAAATGGGGATGTTCATAGAGCGGCATTGGCCGATGGTGTGCAGTGGGTGCACCAAGACGGGGAGGCTGTTGCTCTTGTTGTTGATTTATTGGCGGGACTGTGTTGTAAGAGGTTTTCGATCCTTTCTCGGGTTGGGTTCTGCGGCTTTGCTCCTTATAATGTGGAGTTGCTTTCTCAGTTTGACTTCCATTTCTTGCTTGATTTATGTACTTCTTAGTATGGTATGTTCCCTTTCTCATTTTTTTAAAACTCTTCAGCATTTTAATTGTTGCCTTTTGCCAATGCTTTGTCTTCAATTTTTATTTTTTTATTTTCTTAATTCATTGAATTTCATTATATAGATGGAAAGTTATAATTGGGTCGCACAACATGGAATTTGTGGATGTGTGACAGCATCAGAGAGAATTATGATTCCTTTCAAAGTCCTAATCCGTTTAAGGATTTAATGACCATTTTCTTATAAGTGTATTTTAGGAGTGATGTCTTTTAGATGGACAATCTATGATGTAACAGATGGCTCATAGTTGGCAGCTGAGAAAGCAATGGTTGATCCAACTTTTGGAGCGTGATCTATGTGGATCCTTTAAATAGTGTTTGGGTCTCAAAAGAATTTCCCCTCAATTTTAAAAATCAGTTTGTAATATCATATGGGAATAATATTTTAATTTTCATTATGTGGAATCTTTTTAATTTTTGTAATTTTATAGTATGTTGTTTTTTCATTTGAAGTATGTGGAATAATTTCACTGAAGTCAGCATATGTCAACTATGAGTTTATTCATCGTTAAATCATAGTTAGAGTGGTTCTCTTTGAAGTGTGAGTATAACTATGGTTACGTTTGTGCTCTATAGCCTATGGTTGTCACTGCAATTACATATCTGCAAATTTACATAGTTCCAAGCACCATTTATTAAAAAACCCTTAATGGTTATTCAGAGGAGTGGACAGTGTTCACATAGGATAGATAAGGTTTTCCATAGAGGGGTTTTAGGAGTGGAAAAAGTGTTGACATAGGATAGACTAGGAAACTGGGGGATGTTTGCTCATGAAGTAAGCTAGGCCAGAACAGGATAATGTAAAGGTTTTAGGAATCCCAATTGAAAGGGTCGAGGGTTTGCACATATGCAGAAGCTTGCATGTTAAGGTTAAAGAATTCAGGTTTCGTGGTCTACCTGGGACCAAATATTTCAAGTTTTAGGTTATCTTATTGAAGACTTAGTAGAAATTACTTAAGTTGCCAAATTAGGGCCTTCTGGTGGGAAAATAAACAGAAGAAAGGCCAGTCATGTTATATTTGTGAAAAGACAGCAGTGGAATTAAGATTATTTCTAGAAGATTTTTAGACTTGAAAGAGTTGGGTTTAACAGCTATGTTTCTAGAAGCTTTTCAAACTTAAGAGGCCAATGCCACACCCCACTTTGGATAACAGCATAAATAGGAATTGTTTATTAGATTTGTTCTGTGACTTTGTGGAACATTCGTAGCTTTCTTGTCTTAGCATTACTCATACAAGGTGGCTTAATTTAGAATAATTTATAGCTATGAGGTGACATCAGTGGAGTATTTGTAACTCTAACAATACAAATACATATTGGTATATAAACTTAAATAAGTATATGCATTGCTAGCTACAGAACAAAGATTTGAAAAACTGCCACTTACGGTTGGGCCCAATATTTCAGGGAGCTGCTGGAGCTGCTGTTCAGTACTTGGGTTACACTCCAGGACTTTTTATAGTAGGGCTCTTCGCTATTCTGATTTTATGGATGTATGCTAACTTTTGGATAACAGGAACATTATTTATAGTTGGAGGTACGCCTGCTTTCTTGACCTTGAATTTAAAATTCAGTAACATGATGCAGAGATGTTATTCTTTTGAATGTCTTCTGTTCCCTCATTGTTCTTGCTTTACCGATGTTGCCATTTTATTTATACTGTATGAAACATGCAAGGGTGCATATCTACCTCCCATTGGCTTATGTGCATGAATATGTACCTAAAATGAAAGTGATGAACACACACAGTTCTGGCTATCTAGAGTTGACTGTAGTAGTTTTGCAGCAATCTTTTGGAATGATTTCACATTCACAACATGATATCTAGGAAATAACGAAATAACTGAAGATATAATTTTAGCCTTCTGAATGCATCAACATAGAAGACTTGTAATTTAACCAAATAAACACCGTATCAGAAAAGATTTAACTGAAAAACATGTCTTTAAGTTCGACTATAAGTGTCCTCATGTTCATTTGGGTACATGCCATTAATCCTGCATTACCTTGGGTAGTGGTCTTGGTATTAAACAATCTATTGCAAAAATTCCAAGAGTTCTGCATTTAGAGGTCTTATATATGGATCAGCATTCTGATATATTTTGGCTTTTCTATTGATGTTTAAAATACTTAAGTCTTGTTTCAAATCAAATGCAGGTTATTTGTTCTCCTTAAATCATGCACGGTTGGTGGTCTTGATGGCAACTATATATGCTATTTATTGTGTCAAAGTTCAAGTTGGATGGCATGGCGTTATTCTCTCAATAAACCTTGCATTCTTCTCTAATGATGCATTAAATTATATGCTTCAATGGTGTGATAATGTGAGTGAAAGCACACACTTTGAAGAGCAGAAGCAATCAGAAGAAGTTATTGAAGATGACTTTTCTGGGGAGTGTGAATACTCTATTCCTACTGAGGAATCTGAAAAGGTGCACTCATGTAAATCATCAAGCAAGCCAGTTACTTCAACTGTTATTGATGATCCGAAAGAATCTTCCCCTAGTACAGTGGCCAAAGAGGAAATAAATTCAGCTGTTGAGATGAAAAAAATATTAGACAGTATTGATCATTATGAAGCACTGGGATTTCCTCGACACAAAAAAATTGATGCTGCAATTTTGAAAAAGGAATACCGGAAGAAGGTGGATATTACATTTCATTTTTTTCTTGAGGGGTTGAATTCACCAGTGGGAGTTCTCTCTTTCTTTCGCATTCTAAGTACTACTTTTGAAATGATTTATTTAAGGGAGAGGTGCTTTATTGGGATTTGACTAAAAAGGAGTAGCATTAGTGACTAAATACAATTTATAAGAATCTGATATGCAATGAGTTATACTATGTGTGTGTGTTATGTATATTGCATCGGACAATTAAACACGATTCCATGTGATTAACAGTTTTGATTGATAGTTTATTTCTTTACTAATACTGAGCCTTTAGATCTCTCCCTACAATGAAGATTAGAACACTTTCAAGTGTTCTATTCCTAACCGCTGGGTGGGATCTAATGATGCAGGATTGGTTACTTACTCTGTATGTGCCTTTTGTGTGTGTGTATATATATATATATATTATAACTCATTCTATTTAGAAGTTTAATATCTCCCCTCTTACCCCATTTATTACTTGTTTATCCTTTGTATAGGCCATGCTTGTGCATCCAGATAAAAACATGGGAAGTGCACTAGCCAGTGAATCGTTTAAGAAACTTCAATGTGCATTTGAGGTAATTATACACAAAGCACGGTTTTTTTGGTTGTGTGATTATCCCATAATGCATGTCTGAGACTCTGAAATGGGAATTATAGTTATTGTGTATACGCTACTCACAATGGAATACATTTTTAGGTTCTATCTGATTCCACAAAGAAGCGAGACTATGATGAGCAGTTGCGGAAGGAAGAATCCAAGACTAAGAGTGTGTGCCAGAAGTCCCATGGTACTTCACATCAGGTGAGCTATGTTCTGTGCTTATTGATTTAATTGTTAGGTTACCTGATTGCCATTTTGATGGAGGTCATCAATAACTATAGAAAAGAGAGCAGAGATGTAAAGGATATGATATGTTTGTGTTATGCCAGGAATTGCAAATTCAAAATATATTAATTACATATTCTGGGGTGAGTAATTTCCTGCTCATATCAACTATGCTAATATTGTCCGAAGGAAAAGTTTGAGGTCGATTTTGCCCTTGGCAGAAAAAAGGAAGGAAGAAACTTAATTGTTGCTTAGCATGTGTGTGGCTATACTTCCTAGTTTGTTTTTGAAAGTTGGGAGCCATCTTCATTGTGCAGGATGATGTCTTGTTGTTGATGAAGAGTATAAAAAAAGTATCAAGACTTCATTGTGACTTTGAGTAGAAAAACTTATCTTTTCTTATTGCAGTCTGCCTTTTATTCACGTATCTTTTTTCCTAATGATTTTAACTGCAGAAATCTGTTTTCCCTTGGTTCGTTTCTCTCTGAATTAATTCACTGATGCTCATATGTAACCCCTACTTAAAATTGCATTAACATACTTCTACTATAAGCAGGATGGTCCAGATTATTGTTCCGAAGAGTCGAGACGTATACAGTGCACTAAGTGTGGAAATTCACATATATGGGTATGCACCAACAGAAGTAAGGCCAAGGCTAGATGGTGCCAGGTCAGACATTGCTCTCTATCGTTAGTATCTTTTTAATTATTATCACACTGTTGAAGCCTTCTCTCTCTAATTTTTGCACTTCAGTCTTATGTGCATCTGATTTCTGTTTTGGCATTAGGATTGCTGTCAATATCACCAAGCAAAGGATGGAGATGGATGGGTTGAGTATAAAGGATCTCTAGTCTTTAATAGGCATCATAAGGTAATTTCTACAGTAATTTCTTTTTATTTTTCAGAATTTATTTTCTATACCTTGAGAATTTTTAAACTTCTCAAATATCAAGACGTGATGAATTTTTTGTTATCCTATGCAAATAGTTCTGATGTCCTCACTTGTATTTATCAATGTTAAAAAAAAAAAAAAGAATTTTCCCATGAAAGGTGTAAATTGCTTGATGGAATGTTTGGCTGCAAAATTTACTATATAAATTAAGGGATGCAGGAAATTCTATGAGAGGTAATTAGAAGGAAGTATGATATTCAAATGCCGTAGTGTTGCTTTGTAATATAACATTGATATACATGATTTGTTAAATTGAATCATGATCAATTGCCCTCTTTGCCGGAATGTTCATATAAGCATCCCTTATAATATTTGTTGGCTCTTTGGTTTCTTGTCTTTTAGGTGGAAATACCACGAGCCTTTGTTTGTGCTGAGAGCAAAATCTTTGATGTGTCAGAATGGGCTATTTGTCAGGTACTGTTTGAATAAAAAAAATATCAAAGTTATGAAAATTTGTCTTCTTCTTGTGCATGTTCTACCTTACTTACTTTCTAGATGTGGATTATGGAAAATGATATGAATCAGGCGAATCATCTTAAAAACTTGATCTGGAAAGTAGTCTAATTTGAGTAGATCAGTGTTCAAATGTCAGATATCATGCTGAAAACACCATGTTATAGAGACTTAGAGAATATGTGCTCTTGATTCATTATTATGGTGTTGGTTCGTGTAGATTTACCTTTTGCCAGGGGGAATAAGGTTTGGTATCTCACAGCTTCAACTTATACCATGTAGGGAATGGCATGCAGGCCCAACACCCATAGGCCTAGCTTCCATGTAAACATGGTTGGTTCAGAGAAAACTCAGAGATCGAACTCAAGTAGGTTCCCGTGGGATTTGGATGCTGAAATGATGGATGAAGATGAAGAAGAATTTGAGGTGTGGCTTCAGCAAGCTCTGGCGTCTGGCCTCTTTTGTGAGTCCTCTAAACGCCGAAAGAGCTGGAGCCCATTCAAGTTGCCCCAAAGGGTGAAGAGGCAATCGCGAAGAACATCGTGCTGAATAGCTCAAGAAGGCTATGCCAGAAGATCTGCTGCCCATCCCAAGAAAAAGCAAATGTTTTTTTTTCTGGAAGGAAGGTAGTTGGATTGTCAAGATACTGATTGATAGGTTGCTTGTATCACCAAACAAAGGTTGGTGCTTAACAAAGATGACAAGGAAATGGTTTGATCTCTTGAAAATTGAGATCAGAGATCAACACACACTTTGTATCACCACCAAAGGGGTAGGGCCCAGGTTCCCAGATTTTTGTTGCTCTTGTTGCACATTTAACCCCATATGTTCAGTCGTACGACGTAAGTTATCTCAATGTCCTACCTGAATGATTCAGTACAAGGTGAAAATCCACCACGAACTGTTCCTCTTTTTTTGTACATATTTATCTCGTCAATAAAATTTGCCCTTTGTCCTTCCGACTTGGCATGTTTCTTGTTTGGTAATTACACATAAACGCCAATTGTGGATGCGTGTATACAAGAGGAAATTGCACATTTGATGATTCTATTTGAATCCTGAAAGTTGTTCTTTCTATCCACTCCAAAAAATTGTCAACATGACTTCACTTTAGCTCCACCCTTCAAATGAAATGCAAGGTTGGGTACGTTTTATACAAAAGGTTTTCTTGGCAAATTTCTCACTTTCGAAAAGAAATTGTTGACAAAATATTGCCATTTCTGATAGTCTTCAATACGTCTGAAAACGATGCAGACTTTGTGTTAGCAATGCTGGAACTCACAAAATTAGTACTAGGTACACAAACAATAATTTGCTAGAGGCAACCCACGCCTAACCTCCATTTCTTTCATATAAACCGAGGCCGAAGGGCACCAAATTCGAATATTTCTTGTTTACATGTAAGAGAAAAAAAAAGGGATGACTCAGATTCCATGTAGGAGATCATAATTCATATTGCTCACTTATGGAATCCTGTAATAAATCTATGAATACCAGCAAAATCAGGAACTATTTTCAAATTACAAAAGCTGCCTCCAGCATCATTTTCCATGTACTCTACAAGATGTTTGCACTGCTTCTCCCCATTTGTCTGCAACAATATAGGATTGAAGAGGAAGCGAGATTAGAAGTTACCAATTACTAACTAGTGGAAAACGATAATGCATCTCACTATATCTTGCACATGAAACACCTTGTAGTCACCATTCAGAAACACCATATAGTTCTAGCAAAACAAGCAATGGGCATACTGGGCAGGACCTGAAGCCTAAATTACACAGAATAGATGGCAGATCCAGTTATTAGCCGACTATACTGACTGCAACTTCCGCTCATCTCCATACAAGTATCACCATAATAAAATTATAACTAGCTACAGTACATTCATTGTAGTACTTTTCAACTTTTAAAGGACAAATGCTAACACTTAACTTTTAGAGAATGAAAAATAGATACCTCAAAAGCAAAAAATCCACCAGGTTTCAACATAGAAGCAGCCCCTTTGCAAATATGTAAAAGATCATCCATACCATTGACACCACCATCCAATGCAACTCTGGGTTCATGTCGTCCAACTTCAACTTGAAGCCCTGAGATATCGTCACTTGGTATGTATGGTGGATTACTTACAAAACCTGCGAGTTTACCTTCCATATCCTTTAATGGTTCAAACCAAGATCCTTGCCTTAGCTCCACTACATCCTGATTGGCACATCAAAATTGGAGCTTGAGCATAGAGCAAAATGGAGAACTTCGAAAGCAGTAAAAAGAACAGGGGAAAGAGATTACAATCCAAATGTTTCAAACCTTCATCTTCAAGTTACATGGAAATCAATATACTTGTATTTTTTTCAGTAGAAATATAATGTTTTACCAAGGAATCAGATTCGTACATTCCCAAACACCTATGCCTAAACAAAGTTTGTCCAAAAATCCTTTGCTAGTACATAGACAAAAGTTGGGTTATGCACAGCTTACTCTTGCTATGCTTTCTGTTACATGACCTAAGGCAGCATATCTGCTGATGCAATTAGAATCTCAAATCAACTAACTGGGCATGGTTCTAAACCAGAACTTTATAACACCTGTGTTCTGTTGTACAAGAGTTCTCTATTGCTGCTTTTTTTCCATTAAAGATGTGCTCTAGAATTAGGTGCAAGACGACTTTAACAATGAAAGTTGGTTGTTTTTTTTATCTTTACTGATGAAAGGGTTCATCGCAATATCAAAAGCCCCACTTTTCTTTTTTACAATATTACTGTAAACATTCTTTCACAAGATCCCAATAACCTAGATAACAAATTCCACTTTCTCTTCCATTGACATCCAATTGCCATTAGCAGATACTAATGAAACACAGCATAGCATGTCAACCCAACAATCATATGTCAGTTTACAATCCACATTTTGTAAAGAGACTCTTTTAGCATACTTATCATTCTTATTTCAAGATAAATATAAGTAGAATTTTATCACTAACCTGTAAACCATACCTCTGCACATTAAAACCTGCCACCCCAATTGCTGCAGGACTCAAATCAGTTGCAATGACTCTCCCACCAGTCCCCAAAATCCTCCCAATCCCAATAGCAATTGCACCACTCCCAGTCCCCAAATCAGCCCACAGACCCTCTCTTAACCCTTCATTACCCATAACCACATCACCCACCAAATCAACAATGAGCTCAGTCTCAGGCCTTGGAATTAGAACCCCTTCTTGAACACAAAGCACCAAGTCCCTCCAATGCTCACACCCAACAACATACTGGAATGGCCTCCTCTCTTCAACCCTCTGCTTCCATAACATGTAAAGCTCCTCCGGGGCCACCCTTAGCCTAATGCTTCTCTGGTTGTTTTCCATACCTTTTGATTCTTCTTCGATTGCGTCCTCCATGAGCCATTTGAGCTCTCTGCACAAAAGGGTTGAGTCTGGGCCATTGTCCAAGTCCACAAACGTTGACCCAACAGAGGAAGCAAGGCTTTTGGCCCAGTCATGCCATTTCTGGAGGTCTGAGGAGGCGGCTGAGTATATGGGTGGCTTCAGAAAGAGAGGGGTTTGAGGTTTTAGTGAAGTGGGTGGTGGTGATGATATTGAAGAAGAGCAAACGGAGCGATGGAGGTTAGTGACAAGAGAGGGTTTAAGGAATGTTGAGAGTTTTGGACTGAAGCTTAGCTTCATCGTTCATGTTGGTGCAGAAAGTTGAGGAATGGGATTCTGGGCTTTTATCCCTGTACAGTATCAGTATCTGGGTTTGACATTGGGATGTTATTTATCACAAATTTAAGGTTTATTTTTTGGGTGAAAAAATTTAAGGGTTTTTTAAAACAAAACAAAGGGATGAAAAAGTGCATAGCCAAGTTATAGAAAAAATACTATACTAATTTGATCTCCTCATTTGATAACATTAGTTGAATTAAACTTATTATTTTAGATTAGGCCACAAATCATGTTTATGTGGACCCAAATTGTTTACATTTCTATCATGGAGTCGTTTTAAAAAAAAAAAGTATGAGTGAGTTGCAAGGAGCTTGTAGCTTTGTACCATCTTTATTTTATTTATTTGTTTATTTTCCTAGTTAGTGCAATCTGCTATGCAATCACACGGTTATGTTTGACATGCTGAGATGATAAGGTAATTCTTATATCAATTTTTTTTTTTGGGTACAAGTAATAGTCTAAACTGTAAGGCAAAGAGACTTCTCACACACAACTAAGATACCACGGGATTCGAACCTGAGACATCTAGTCTGCAAGTCAAGGCCCTCTTCCACTGGGCTAGCTAGACCTAGTTGTCAATTCCTATATCATCCTGGTTAATATTAAAAGATGTCATGGTTTGGATGAATCTGGTACCAAAATATCTGTTGGAATACTCTTCTATGAATAAGATTTCATAAAGCACCAGCTCAAGTTTAGGGCGCAACATATTTAGAAACAACCGCCCTCCCTATTTACTTTCCGATCCAAAACGGGATTTGCCTATATCATAGTTACAATAAACTTCACCATATACCAACAAAAAGGTCTTGGACGAAAATGCATCGAACGATATCGCTAAGCCAGATTACATGAGTATAAGAGTTTCTTAAACTTGAATCCTAGCTGGTCATTATTAGTCTTTGAAGAAGAGCTTTGCCTGCTCATCAGGGCGCAACATCAACCTGTGCAAGAAACATAGAAATTTGCAAAATTGGAAACTGAATAATAATATGCCTGCCTAATTGAATTGCTAACAGTTCGAGATTTCCAGGTTTAAAGAATTTCGGTTGGAAAAAGGGTTTTAAGAATTAAAGGTAATAAATGTTCACAGGTCAAAAAAATAGAAATGCAATATTGCTGTGTAAAATGAAGTAACAGAATTATTATTACAAACATTTGGTGCAAGGGTAAAGAGAAAAGTACTAAGGCCAAAACTTATCCATTCAAGGCTACAGATCCTTTAATCATTTACGAACAACCCTAAGTATTGACTGACTTTCGTACAGTTAAAATTGAGGGAGGGTGACTATTCACATTCTTCTAATGGTAAATGGTGGATTATGAATTTACCTCTTGATAGCAAGAAACATGTATATACAATTGGAAAGACAAGGTCAACCAATTCTGCTCCCTGGTGCAAGAAGCTCCATTTGTTCAGTAATATGATTCATATGTTGAGTCTTGTCCCATCCATTCTCCTCCCCAAACTTCAACTCTTGATCCATGGTCCCTCCATCAGTGGAACTCAAATTAATTTCATCTACGTCACCAGTCAGAGGGCTCGCTGGAAGAAATTGTTCCCAGAAGATATCAGTAATTCCCGGAAGGTTAGAGCCCAGCAAAGCATCTACATCAGGCTCAGGAGAAAAGGCATCAGTTTCTGTAGGCAGGGTCCCATCCAAAACCGCTGACATATCCATGTACTCTGCATTCCCAGTCTCAGAGCTCATGAAGTTTGCGTTGGGGATTTCTACAGTGCTTTCTGGAACACCACCTTGCATTTGCGTTGATTCAGGCATAACTGCATCTTCTTGAAAATTATGCATGTTCTCTTCCAAAACTTGAGCTGCTTTAACACAATTGGTAACTGCATAAGGAGAACACTGGATCTCAGAAATGGCTGTAGAATGACAACTGTCGGGAAATCCAGACTCTTCCTCGGGCATATAACACTCCTCAGAAGTTGGTGGAACCTCTGAAAAGGTTACGCCCAAAATCCGGTTAGAGGTGTCACCGCTTTCTAATGCATCAGAAGAAGGAACATTGTCAATCAGGAAAGCATCAGGATTGATCATCGACGGTTCCAGCCTAGGAGATGTATTCATCTTCAAGATCTGCCGCAGCATTGCTTTTGCTGCTTCATTCATTGAAGGCTGGTACTTCACCATTTGTCCATCGAGAGATTTGGTGCTAAGCTTCCCAACCAAAATTTCATCTTCTTGCCTTGGGAGTCTCCTTTTCTTATTGCTTCCAGTGATTCGCCTGTTGTTTTCATTTTGATGTTGTACAAGCTGGGATAAAAATCCAGGACTATGCATAGCCTTTGCAAGAAATGACATCATTTGCTGCTGCCGCTGCTCCATTCCCTGCACACGTTGTCCAACATTATGTAACTGATTATCTGTTGCTTGCTGTTTCTGCCTCAATCTAACAAGTTCCTGCATAAGACTGTTCTTGTCATTTTTAAGTCTTTCAACCTCTTCCTCCAGCCCAAGATTTCCCACCTCAACACATGCCCCAACCTGAGAGCTCTGCACTTGAGGTGGTGCTTGTTGATGACTGTTTGCATGAGCTGGTTTCCGCCTGCTGACTGTCTTCAAAAGGTGTTTCTGGCCTCTTAGAAACCCTTCATTTGCAAATTCCCATCGGTCTGGATCAACCTTTCTAAAACCCTGCAAATTGAATGCAACACCATAAATACTAAAATTATATAATGAAAATATAATTCAAAAGTTACGCATACATCTTAAACTTTTTTTTTGGAGCATAGGACAAAAAGCCAGATTCTCTCGTCTCATGATCCAGCCTCAGGTAACAAGCACCATTCATAGTCTTAATTGCAGTATCAACCCTCCAACAGCCAAATGCTGCAAAGGAACTTATTAGCTTTTGCCTCCTTTTCCACTCTTTATTATTTATTTATTTATTTCCAATAACCAACACAAGTAAAACTTCTACTTTCTGCGAATAGCAATCAGTGATGATAAAAGGCTTGTTTCTCAGTTATTAGGAGATAATTTTATTTCTGAATAAACAATATTATTGCAATGGTCACTGAACTTGTACCCGGGCTCCACAAAATTTAAAAACTGAATTGAGGGACTAAAGTGGAACTTGGATATAAGTTCAGGGACTGTTGCAATAATTAAATCATAACAATAAATTACAACATAGTGAAAAAGATGTCCGCATTAGAAACAACAAAATAATGATACAATAGCCATTTATCGATATTAACCCACTGCAGCTTGCCAGTCTTACTAGAGGCTGAAAATGGCAGATCCCTAAACAACTAAGAGGCGATACATCTCAACTGTTCAAATCTGATTTAACAACCAAGAAATGAGTTCTCATTTAAGGACAGACACCTTATTAGAGTAATTCTATATACACATAAACACATCCACGTACAAAAATACATACATATATAGATATAGATAAATACATATATCGTATATATGCAATTTTGATCTCATATTACCAGCACAGAATTCATGCTCACCAGTCATAGGATCAAAATCCAATGGCTGATGTTCAAATTATGACAAAGCACTTTTCTTTGACATGCATGCTAGCTATTTGATTTTGATATATTGGTCGGTGAACATGGATTTTTCTTGTTAACCGGTGCGTAGGAAACTGTAGATATCTCTCTCGAACCACTCACCGGATTATGTCGGATACACACACCCAGGTTTGTGTATGTATGCATATTATATACATATATGCAGATGTATAGTCATTTGCGATCGTCCTTCTATGGTTTAAATTTATAACCCTAACAAAAGTTCCAAATAATATGATATTAAACAAATAAGACAAAAACTAACAAAAGTCTCATATCCAAACACATGGACAATGCAACTGCCAGAAAAAAAGAGCTTAACTTCACCTTTCTTGTCTTTCTAAACAAAACCTAAAAAAGAAAAAAAAAAAAACTGATTTCATTTATCTTCCAAAACACTAACTCCTGATGGGAATGTATGAGTTGAAAAGGAAAGAAGAAGTATTCCTAACTTATAGTCTCTGGAAGTAAGAGAAGGGGAAAGGAACAAACCCCAGGTGCACATACCCATTCATTTTACATCCCGCTAGTTTCTATTAACAATGCCAATAAGTATTTACCAAAACTAGATCACTACTTGATACCTGTCATCTGTAAGAGTTGAGACAACATGAATTACTACATTTTGGATTATGCCATATAACTACATCTCCCTTGTAGTGAGAAACATTTTCGACATGTCACACTATCAATCACTAACTACGTTGACATGTAAAAAGATCAAACTACTGAGCTTATAAGACCAAGTTGCCTGTCAGTGTCACCAAGTTTTCAAAGAACTGTCTTCATCTGAATAAGATGGAAATTTAGAGGCTAAAGAAAGCTAAACATGCCAATCATTTGAAATTTTCTGGGATATCAGCAAATGCCTAAGAAACTTTTATGTTCCACTTTATACAAAATGGTTTCATTACAATAAAACAGCTCTATGGTCTTACTATGAAGAAAAAAAATTAATTGTATAATTAATCTGTAATAGATAAGAATGGATCATAGGAACAAACTTGTCAAAGAAGCACGTTAAATGAGGCAATTTGCTCATAACTATTAGGGATTAGGCTCCGATTATAAATCTCAATGTACTTCTGATCTTTTACTGTCTTTTTTTTTTCGGGCTTGGTTTTCTACAAGTTTCGAATAAAACAAAACAAATTGAAATTTATCCACTTGATTACATGATACAGTGGCCACATAGACCTGAAGGAACCCACTGAATGACCACGAATCCAATTCAACAACAATGGCTAAAATCTTGTGATATAAAATCCACACAAACAGAATCTATCTTCATGGTTTATCTATTTACAACCTCCAATTCTATAAACCTTTACCAAAAGAACAATGATCAAACCTAATTGAACATTGGTCTTGCGTAACTAATCCAAATTTCACAGTTCTAAACGGAAGTACCGCGTAAACCATCTTCTTGTTTCTATCTAAACCTCCAAAAACCCACAATAAAATGCAGAAACAAAGAACAAAGAAAAAAGCAGAAGAATCGATAGTGGGAAAAGGGAAGAAATACCCACATAAGTATTCAGCTGCCTGACGAAGCTAGAGAAGTTGTTGTGCTTGAAATACTTGGGCAGGAGGTCCCTGGAGAACTCGGGCACGTTCCAAACGACGAAGCTGTTGTTGCCGTTGCTCCAGGAAACGACGGCGTTGGTGGACGGGTCGTCCACCATGTCGTAGGTTTTGTTCAGAAAGGGCGGAGGAGGAGTGTTGGCCAAGTTGATCATCGTCGGCGCGTCTTCGACTCCTTCCATGTTTGCTTGCTGCTTTGTATCAGTGTTTGAGAAAATGGGGTATCAGAGAAAGAGAGAGCGAGAAGGAAGAAGCCCTAGATTGCAGGGGAGGGGATGATGACGAGTCAGAAGGAAATGACGGGGATGGGGAGATACAAAGTGAAGTTGAACGACTCGCGGCAAGGTTTGACGCAACTCATGACAACAGCACAAGTCCAATTTAGTACACAAATAATGAGCGGATTTACACCTTTAAATTTTAAACAGTTTGCTATGCGTTGGCGCTCTGCGGTAAATTTGGAATTTCGGAAGGTGAGAGATGATAGATAATTTTTTTCTTTTTTTCTTTTTAATTTTATTTTATACAGAGTCGGAACTTTTTTTCAGCCAATTTAGCACCCGATCTATTTTATAATCGCCAATTTCATACATATCATTAGATTGTCAAATCTAATGCGTGAGGCACATTGTATCATAATTCGAGGGCAATTTCTCCTTGTCGCACCCCTTTCATCAGTGTTTGTAATGGTTAGATTATGATACAAGGACACAATAGTAATATGTACTTGAAATCAAACTTTAAGTTGGAACTTGGAACCTTTACTTCTCCTCCCTCTACTTTTTCCAAATAAAGGGATCGAAAGATATGTTCATTAATTCCAAATATTTGTAAATTTGAGATTCTATTTTTTGTTTTGTAAAATCAGGAAAACAGAAAAATGTCAAGAAATAATAGGAAAAGAAAAGGAAAAAGAAAAACAAGAAAGGACTCTGGGGTATGGTCTGCTACAGAAATTCCAGCGGCGTTAAGGAAGTTGCCAAAATCCCAACCGACCCAACCCAATTGGCACTCACAGTCTTCTCGACCTTGATACGATGCTTACCATCAAAACTGCAAAACTATAAAAAGCCCATAAATATATTTTCGCAGGAAGAAATTAGAAAACCCGTCAAAGCCTTGCCTTATCGCATGTAGATTTTGATAGGTAAAGAAACAGCCACATATATTCTTCAAATTTCATTCCTTTTTTCCACCTCCACCTTATTATCCCCTACCTTCCCCAACCACAACCTCCTTCCATCTTCCCGTTTACAAACTCACTCACTCACTCTCTCTCTCTCTCTCTCTCTCTCTCTCTCAAGTTCTGAACTCAACAATACCCAAGTGTTGGAATTCCAGTTACAGTTCTTGGAGAGAGGTAAAGCTGTTCTATTTCTCTAGAAAGTATTGAATTTTGGATTTGGGGTTCTATTTGTTTTTGTTTTTTTTCTGCTAGGAACAATAATATTATTGTTACTTCTGGAATTCCAGTATTGGGTAGCTTGAATTTTTCTTCATGTTATACTAATTGACATACAAGTTCACGTTTTGTCTGGAACTCTGGAGAGTTTTGGATGACAGCTTAGAATATATTTATATGGGTGGTTGTGTTGTGGGGTCTCCATGCTAATTTTAGTAGGAAGCATGCAGGGAACAATGGCTTCTGTGGCTTCCCTTGTTAGTTTGGGAAGTGTCACACTTTTGGGTTCATCTGAAAGGTCCCGCTCACTTGTTAGAAAAGTTTCTTTATCTAAGGCAAGTTTAAAGGGTAGCAGGAGATGGCATTGTGTAAGGTTATCTGTGTGTAAATGTTCGGTCACAACTACTGATTTTGTTGCCAAGCAAGGAAATGAGGTGTCCCTTGATTCTAACAACTATAGAGGAAGTACAGATGTTTCTAATGCCAATGCTGATTTTGTACTCAAGCCTTCCCCAAAGCCAGTATTGAAGTCCTCAGGAGGGTCCAATAATGAACCCCTTGTAGGTATTGATGCAGCTGATTGGGACCCCTCAAGGATTAGTGGGAATTCGGATGAAGAAGAAGGAGAAGAAGAAAGGAATAAGGTGATTGAGTCGCTTGGAGAGGTTCTGGAGAAGGCTGAAAAGTTAGAAACTTCAAGAGCTGGTGAATTGGGTACTAAGAAAGATAGTAGCTCTGTAAATAAACCTGCACCATCTAACGCAAGTACTAATTTGGGGAATGCTAAACCGGTGAACTCGGAGACAAGTAGTAAGTCTAAAACTTTGAAGAGTGTGTGGCGTAAAGGAGACACAGTCGCAACTGTGCAGAAGGTTGTAAAGGAATCACCTAAACTTAATAATACAACCCCAGAAGAGGAACTAAAAACAGGGGGAGGGTTAAAAGCAGAGTCTCAACCCCGTGCTTCTTTGAGACCCCCTCAACCCCCTTTGAGATCCCAACCAAAATTACAAGCAAAGCCTTCTGCAGCTCCTCCACCCACGGTAAAGAAACCTGTTGTCTTGAAGGATGTGGGGGCAGCTCCAAAGTCGTCAGGGATTGATGAAACTGATTCTTCCACACAGACTAAAGAACGGAAGCCAATTTTGATTGACAAATTTGCTTCCAAGAAGCCAGCGGTTGATTCTGTGATTTCTCAAGCAGTTTTAGCTCCTTCAAAACCAGGAAAGGGCCCTCCCCCTGGAAGGTTCAAAGATGGGTATCGAAAGAAAAATGATCCAGGTGGACGGAGGCGGAAGGTTGATGACGAGATTCCGGATGAAGAGGCCTCGGAACTCAATGTCTCTATTCCTGGAGCAGCTAGGAAAGGGAGGAAGTGGAGTAAAGCAAGCAGGAAGGCAGCGAGACTCCAGGCTGCCAAAGAGGCAGCCCCTGTTAAAGTAGAAATTCTAGAGGTTGGTGAGGATGGTATGCTGATAGATGATTTAGCGTACTATTTGGCCATTAATGAATCCCAAATTCTTGGATCTCTGTACGCAAAGGGAATTAAGCCTGATGGGGTTCAAACTCTGGACAAAGATATGGTAAAGATGATTTGTAAAGAGCATGATGTGGAAGTTATAGATGCTGATCCTGTAAAGGTGGAAGAAATGGCAAAAAAGAAGGAAATACTCGATGAAGATGACCTGGACAAACTAGAAGACAGGCCTCCTGTCCTTACTATAATGGGTCATGTGGATCATGGCAAGGTAAATGAAGTTCATGTGTTTTATTTGCTAGTCAGTTCTTTTGCATCTTGTTTTCTTGAGTAGTTCCTCTTGTGTATGGTATTTTTAAATTTGTAAGTTTACATTCCAGTATTTCTAATACTTTTGTGTTTGTCACTTGCCAGACAACCCTGTTGGACTATATCCGGAAGAGCAAGGTAAAAATAGCTGCTGAACGTCTAATTTCTCCCATCAGTTAATTTTGCAATGACCTTTGTGGTATCGGATTTTATGGTTTTGTTATTTTTGGTAAAACTTAAACACTTTATTTCAGTAGTTTGGTTATAACATATTGATTGTTCACATAAAATATGGTATTGGTTTAATAAACTTTGGAGCAATGTGGAATTGGTGCTAGCATAAAGTAATTTAATTGAAGCCTGACTGGTATATAATTATATATTCACAGGTTGCTGCCTCAGAGGCTGGTGGAATTACACAAGGAATTGGGGCATATAAGGTGCTTGTACCAATTGATGGAAAGGTGCAATCATGTGTTTTCCTTGATACTCCTGGGCATGAGGTACAATCACTCTCCAGTAAACACTCGGAAATCTCTCTCTCTCTCTCTCTCTCTCTCTCTCCATATAACCACATTATTTTATCTTTATTTTTCTGGATGATATTTGGGTTTTGTAACTTGCTTGTACTTTTTTTTCCCTTTAGATGATATCTATTATATCCGATCCTGTAGGCATTTGGAGCAATGAGAGCTCGTGGAGCAAGGGTGACAGACATTGCTATCATTGTAGTGGCTGCTGATGATGGAATCCGCCCTCAAACAAAAGAGGCCATAGCTCATGCTAAAGCTGCTGGCGTGCCAATAGTAGTAGCTATAAATAAGGTATGCCAAGCATGGTGGCACTTTTTTTCTTTTGACCATTGTTTGGGTAAAAAATAAGGAAGAATAGCTGCTTTGCTTGCGTTGCTTATGGCATCATGATTTGTTGAATCTCAATTCTATTCATTCTAATGGTATCAGATAGACAAGGATGGAGCTAATCCAGATCGAGTCATGCAAGAGCTTTCTTCTATTGGTCTAATGCCAGAGGACTGGGGTGGTGATGTTCCAATGGTCCAGGTTGTTATTTCATGTAGAAGAATTGTACTTACATATTTCGTTATGCCTTATACTCTTTCTAAGCGCTTCCTTCTGTGGGTTTAAACAGATTAGTGCTCTTAAAGGGAAGAATATAGATGAGCTTTTGGAAACTGTTATGCTAGTTGCAGAGGTAAGGCAGATGTGAATGGATGTTGACGCATTAGCTTTGATATACTGTTGCAATAATATTTTTTTCTAGCTATCTTGGTTGTCTGAATTTGTTTTTTGGAAAGTATTCTGGTGGTTAAATTTATTTTTCCTAACCTTTTTATGATTTTTGTAGTTGCAAGATTTAAAGGCTAATCCTCATAGAAGTGCGAAAGGCACAGTCATTGAGGCCGGTCTTCATAAATCTAAAGGACCTTTAGTTACACTTCTTGTGCAAAATGGAACCCTTAGACGAGGGGACATAATAGTTTGTGGAGGAGCCTTTGGAAAGGTTGGTGGATAACAATTTTTGAACTCTGAGCCCTTTTGCTTAGATCTAATCCACTTTTTATGCGGCTCAAATGGTCAACATTTTGACTAACGTGAGGCACTTTTTGTTATTCCCATGGTCAGGTGCGGGCTTTATTTGATGATGGTGGAAATCGTGTCGATGAAGCTGGACCCTCTATACCTGTTCAGGTTTGTCGTTCATATATTCTTTGTTTTTTTGTTTTAAACTGTCTCTCATTCTTTCTCTGTTGTTTTAAGCAGTGACTTAATTCAAACGTTATAGTGGATCATAAGTAAATCCAAATGTCTGAATGTTTGTAGGGCTTGTCGGATATTAGTAGAAATTCATTGTAGGGTTCTAATTGGAGAAATAGAAGCTGACAGTTTCAAAATTTTGCGCGTTTGTGTTGCAATTTAAGTGAGCTTTGTAAGTACAATACATTATTAAGTATAACCAGGGTTCTTTTTTATTCAAAAGATGAAACTGTAGTGGTAAGTTTGGATTTCCAGATGCTGTGTAATTCTTTATCGCCCTTGACATGCAAGTATTTGTATTAGCTTCATTATTCCTCTGCTTCCATTTTGTTGACTTTATGATTACTATAAGCAAGTACAGTTGGGAAGATACATGGCACAGCTTCCTCTGACTGCTAAATTTTTCAACATAACTGAAAACACATTTGTTGTAGCACTGCTTTCTGTGGTGGTTAATAGCAGAAAACTATATATTATTCTCTAAAGCTTCTATGAGCAGCCATTTTATTTCACTGTCTATACATTGCTTACACGAGTGTCCTTTTTCAAAGATGTTTTTGTTTTTTGTTTCTTCTTGATTTTTATGAGATATGTGTTCAACTGTGTCGCATGATTCTTGTTTCAATGCCTGAATAGCAATTTCTGTGTCTACTTGTAGGTTCTTGGATTAAATAATGTTCCTGTTGCTGGTGATGAATTTGACGTTGTTGGCTCCCTTGATGTTGCACGTGAAAAAGCAGAGTCACGTGCTGAGTCATTGCGAAATGAACGTATATCAGCTAAGGCTGGCGACGGCAGGGTTACTCTTTCTTCCTTAGCGTCTGCAGTTTCAGCAGGAAAGCTGTCTGGATTAGACTTGCACCAGCTAAATATTATTCTGAAGGTTGATCTTCAGGTATGCATATTCATCTTTTGTAAATTATGTTGTTTTTCACGTTGCAACCTTGAGTTTAACAACTGATGAGTTGAGCGTTTATTTTAATTTAGTCTGATTAAAGGAAAAAAAAAACAATTATCAGAATAAACCATAGTGAGGAACCTGACAAGGCACAACCTACCTATTTATATGCAGAATGGACTATCATTCACAATATTGATTAAAAGTTTGGACTAGTTAGGTTATTGGGTTTTAGAAGTATAAGAAAAGCATCTTAATTTGTGGTTGGAAAAGCGGAGAAATTTTTTTGGCATATAATGGCATGCTCAATGAAGTTGTATGCATGTGGAATGGTAATTAGACATCATGAATGAAATGAGCAACAACAGCAAGATTTAATTATTTTCAGATGTCCATTACAGGCTTTATTTTCGCTATAAGATGGGAATAATTTTGTTTTGCAACTGGCCCGTTAAGAAGTGCACAATTAATCAAAATCTTAATCTGTTCTTCTAATTTTCACCAGTCAATATATAGTTTGGTAACTGGCCCTTCAAAGAAGTGTCTAACCAATTTCAAGTTTCATAGATAATTAGTCTTTATTTAAACTGTACTGAATTATATCATGATTATTGTCATGTCTAGGGATCTATTGAGGCAGTCAGACAAGCCCTGCAGGTGCTCCCACAAGATAATGTCACCTTGAAGTTTCTCTTGGAAGCAACAGGTGATGTAAGCACCAGTGATGTTGATCTTGCTGCTGCCAGCAAAGCCATCGTTTTCGGATTCAATGTCAAAGTACCGGGTTCTGTGAAAAGCTATGGAGAAAACAAAGGTGTCGAGATCCGCCTTTATAGAGTTATCTATGAACTTATTGATGATGTACGAAATGCAATGGAAGGACTCCTAGAGCCTGTTGAGGTATCAATGAACTTAAGCACCAGATCTCTTTGGGTTTTTAAGGCATTGACTTTTAGGGGCATATGTTGCTTATGCTTTAACATTGTTGAAATTTTCTAGACTGAAAGATTTGCAGTTGACATTGTTACTTGTGTATTGATAGGAACAAGTGACAATTGGCTCAGCAGAAGTCCGGGCCGTATTCAGCAGTGGTAGTGGTCGTGTTGCTGGATGCATGATAAATGAGGGAAAAGTTGTTAAAGGCTGTGGCATTCAGGTCATTCGAAGGGGAAAAGTAGTGCATGTTGGCCTTCTTGATTCGTTGAAACGGGTTAAGGAAATTGTGAAAGAGGTATTATTTTATAGCCTGCATAATTCTATTGGCCATTTTGTAGAATTGATAGAAAATGCAAAAAGGGAAGCAACCTAGGGCATGAGAAGTATTACTTAGGTGTACCTTAAGTTTGTCCTAATATAGTAAAAATCACAGCCTAGCGCATGTTGCATGCATCTGGATCTGTGTTCAGCGTGGATTCAAAGTATTTTCCTCTTGTTTAAAATATCTGAATGATGTGTTTATTTGTTGGACTGCATTTGTTTTCCTAGTAACCTCACATACCGCTGAATACATTCATGCCTACATCTTCTTTGGGTCGGAATTCTTAGACATACATACATGCTTGGGTGTGTGCATCTGCTTGCCCTGGAGGAATAGGAGAAAGATTATACCATGACTTAGTTCTTAAATTGGTTTCCATAAAAAATCTTGTTCCTTTCGCCTGATTTTATGAAATATCGTTATCTTCTGGGAGCTGATTACAATGGGATAGCAATGACAGTAATAATACATGACACAGAAGTTGTAGGTGCGTGTGTGCCTTTCTACTGTGGGATGAAGGGCTGAGTTCACAAACACTAAATATTAATTTTGACACAAACACTAAACATTAATTTTGATCAATTTACATACTGACTATTCAGTTTCTACACTGCAGTTAGGCGTAGCAAGATTTATTTTCACTGAACGTATGATAGAAGCTTTTGTGTGTAGATATATGCCTCTAATCTGATTTCTGGAACAATTAATGTTTCAATGTCAATCTTCAACTTTGACAAAGGATTTCGCTTTATTATTATTATTATTTTTGTTTTTGGCATTCATTTAAATTGACATCAAGCTTTTGTGGTGATCACATGTTCAGGATTCATTTGGTATTGGCATTACTTTAGTATGTCTTACGTTTGCAATAAGCTGTATATTATCCTCTTGGCTAGGTAAATGCTGGACTAGAGTGTGGAATTGGGGTGGAAGACTACGACGATTGGGAGGAGGGAGATATTCTTGAGGCCTTCAACACAGTCCAAAAGAAGCGGACCCTTGAAGAGGCGTCTGCTTCAATGGCGGCTGCAGTGGAAGGAACAGGAATTCAATTGTAGAAAGGTGCGAAGTCACAGAATTGGCGTATGTGCATGTTTTGTTGGAAGCAAATTATGATGACCTCAATCCGGCACACCACCACCGTCGTCTGATCAGTGCCAAGACAGTCCTCAGGAGGTTTGCATCGGTTAGTACCCCACACGTGCATTTATTTTGAGTGTGGGGTGCTAATGATCTATGCAAGATGAATGTACCCTTTTGTTGTATGCTATTACACTGTATATAATTTTATACATTGTAGCTTTCAGCTTTGTTTTGTAAAGAGGGGAGGGAGGGACATTCATTCAAGTTCCTTATAGTTCTAATGTTGCGGGGAGAGCACTTGTAACAGATACATGAAATTTGAGAAAAAAGTTACAAAATTCTTTATGATGCTCTGCCCTTGATGCATCATCTGATCTCAATTTCAGGTCCAATGATTTGTTAACTGTATTTGCAGAGCCAGGCCTACGGCGCTGGAGAGGGTCGACGAGTGGAGTAGAACCACAAGGCCTAAAAATCCACACATGTTGATACGTCAGTAAAAAAAAAATAAAGATTCAAGTGTTTAATTGTAACTAAATCAAATTACATGGATAAAGATTCACAAGTGGAAATCAAGCCAAATTACAAAGAATCAAAGAATCACAAATCTATCTGGTTTAGCCAAAAAACAAATACAAAGGGAAAAAGCCACTCAGCAGCACGCGAGGAAAGATTAACAGGTACCACGTGGCAGCCTCATTTGGCTGGTGCACCCGGTCAAGAAATTTCAAAATTCGAAAAAAAGCCAACGGTCAGTTGCCTCCAAAGAATAACGGAGATTGAATGCGCCAACGAAAATAACGCCTTTCTTTCTCTGTGAAGATTCAAAAGCGCTTCTTCCTTTTTGGGTTCTCTTTCTTTTGCGCAATAAAGAGATTGCCATCATCATCATCACAGTCTTTGATTACTTGAATTCAAAAACAGTGTATTTAGTACAATTGTCGTTTTATCAATGGAGGAGGAGCAGCATAAGCAATGCCATTCTTTGTTCGAGCATGAGCACGACCCTCTTCTCCTCACTGACGTTTCTTCGCAGCAAAACAGCTCCGTTTCCACTGCCAACTCTCACTCTGACTGTAAGTTTGAAAACCCACTTCAGAACTCCGGCATACAGAACTGCGCAAGATTTTATTTTCATGGCTTCTCTAATTTCTTGATACCCTTCTTCTACTTTGGCAGACACTTTGCTTTGCTCGCAATTGCAACGTTTGACAATGGTGGATCCTGATTCTTCTTCTTATGCCAATGCAAATGAAGGTAATTTCATGAAAAAAAAACTTCCTTTTAGTTCTTTCTAGTTTCTCAGTAATCTTTTTATTTGTGTTCTCTAAATCCCAATTGGGAGAATTGCACTATATGTCTACTTGTGTAATGGAACTATTTTAACTGTAATTTAGTCAAGAACATGGAGCCAATTCGAATCTAGGACAGATCATAACAGTGGAAGATAAATTTGATTTTTTGATTTTTCGTGGGTGTAGATTGTTCTGGGGAAAGTTATCAATACACAGAAGTCATTAGTACACCAAAGTTCAGTGACCCAGTTGCAAATGATGGTCTTGATGGTAAATTAGACTAGTCTTTCCTTTTCTGTGAACAAAAGATTGGGCAAAAATCTTGGATTTGACTTCAAGATTTTCAAGAATTTTGATTTATTTATGATACATTTCAGGCCGGTCCATGGTAGGATTTTCACTTTTATTTATGATACATTTCAGGCCGGTCCATGGTAGGATTTTCACTTACCTCTCCTGATTTGGTGATCTGTTCTGGGTCACCCGATATACCCCAAACCAGCTATGGAGATTCCCCCGAGTTCTTGGATGGTAAATTCCATCAGAAGATGGATTCTTCTATCGAGCTCTCTTTCGAGAACGGAATCAACGAGTCCCAAGTTACAGATACTCATAAAACTCCAACTGTAAAGTTCTCAAACACATTGTGCCAAACTTTTAAAGAAGATTTGTCTCCTGAAGCTTCATTCGAGCTTCTTCCGCCTTCTGCCATTGAGGACAAGTTGAAGGAAGGTTCCCTTCCTGATATAAGCAACAATGGAGGTTGCACAGATGATTTCCTGGGTGGTGATTCTCAAATGGAAAACTGCAAATCACCTGAAGTAAAAGTTCTTGTAATCCCTCTCAGGTTCAATATTATTCAGATGGAAAAATAGGACAGACTTTGATATTTTGTGCAAATTATGTCATTGCAGGATAATGGCAATGCCAACGTTGAAGGAGACTATCATAAGCTGCTAATAGGGTATGAGAAACAGAAAAAAGAATTACAAGAGATGAGGAGTGCATTGGAGGAGCTTAAAAAGAAAGACCAATCCAAGAGTAAAGAATGCCAAGAAGCTTGGAAGTCTCTGAAGGAACTCCAAAACGAACTTATGCGCAAGTCCATGCATGTTGGATCTTTGGGTATGGTAATAATGTCCTGTGCCTGTTAACCATTTGAACCATCTGTAAACATGGTACATTGATGCTTGTCTGTTGCAGCTTTTGCCATCGAGGGACAAGTGAAAGAGAAGAGCAGATGGTTCTCATCATTGAGAGATTTGACAAGAAAACTTAAGGTATTAAGTTGTAAAAATAAAAATACAAAGGTGCCCTTTGATTACACTATATATGATTACAGTGTTTTAAAAAGTTTCATTCGACAGATTATGAAAATGGACCACATCAAGCTATCAGAAGAGGCATTGGCATATAAGAAATGCATTGAAGATATGAATGAAGTGAGGTCTACTATTCAGTCCACTTGTAAGTACATGCCATGTTTTTATTTAGAGATATGATATTTGTTTTGCTCTTTCTGATTCTTGCTAATTTTTTTATATTTTTTTTCCAATAGTAAATCAGCAAGTAAATTTGCATAAAGATTTGAAGACTAAGTTTATTGAAGGGGCCAAAGAACGGAAAGAACTCTACAACAAGGTGTTAGAGTTGAAAGGTTAGGAGTATGCTATTTTTGACTAAGAGAGGTCCAAGCAGGTACGAGATTGAAGTGAGTTTCTGACATTTATTTTGTTTGCTCGTAGGAAACATAAGGGTCTTTTGCAGGTGCAGGCCTCTAAACACTGAGGAAGTTGCAGCAGGAGCTTCAATGGCTATTGATTTTGAATCTGCTAAAGATGGTGAGCTCAATATCAAATCAAGTGGGGCTACTAGAAGGACCTTCAAGTTTGATGCTGTATTTGGCCCTCAAGCAGACCAAGGTTTGTAAACAGTTATATAAGAGTTTTTTATTTTGTTTGTCTTGTATATCAATTGAAGTACAAAAGTTCATTACAGTAATATGTATCCTTTTTCTTTGTCCTATTTAGCTGATGTTTTCAAAGACACAGCTCCATTTGCAAGCTCAGTTCTAGATGGGTACAATGTCTGCATCTTTGCATATGGGCAGACTGGAAGTGGAAAAACTTTTACAATGGAGGGCACAGAAGAAGCTCGGGGAGTCAATTTTAGGACTCTTGAGGAATTGTTTCGTACGATTAGAGAGCGAGAAAAGTTATATCAATATGATGTATCTGTTAGTGTGTTAGAAGTCTACAATGAACAAATACGAGATTTACTAGTTTCAGGGAATCAGCCGGGAGCAGCTTCCAAAAGGTTGAAGAGATACTTAAACCATCTCTCTTATTTTTTCTCCTTCCAACTTAATCTGATGAAACATCCTTATATTATTGTATATTTCTTGATTTGTGGTTTCTTTTAACTTCATGTATAGATGGGAAGTCATTTGTCATAATTAGACATACTTTATTTTCATAAGTTTCCACTCATTTAGTTGGCACTTAGAATAGCAGTATAGGCTCTCATTTTCCACATCTTAGCCATTTCTTAACGTTCCTTCTCTCAAAATGTGAACTGCATAGTTAAGTTTCCATATCCATCTTTGCTCCTACTTGTTGATATTTTTTCACTTCTGACGATTCACTAATATGTCGGATTCTCTTGCAGTTCCACTTGTCTATCACAAGTGTGAAGGATGGGAAGTTATGATTATTCAAGATTATAGCATCTCACAGTATTGCGATGATTTTGTAGGCTTGAAATAAGGCAAGTCGGTGAAGGGATACATCATGTTCCAGGACTGGTTGAGGCACAGGTAAACAACATGAGTGAAGTCTGGGAAGTTCTGCAAACTGGCAGTAATGCAAGGGCTGTTGGCTCAACCAATGCCAATGAGCATAGCAGCCGATCGCACTGGTCGGTTTATCTTGGTTACAGTCAAATTTGTTTTAATTTTCATCAAACAGGATGTGGTCTAAAGATAGATTGCTAAATGTTAGAGTGGTTTTTTCCTTAATGCAGCATACACTGTGTAATGGTGAAGGGGGAGAATTTGTTGAATGGCGAATGCACAAGAAGCAAGCTTTGGTTGGTTGATCTAGCAGGGAGCGAACGTGTAGCAAAGACAGAAGTGCAAGGAGAACGACTCAAGGAAACTCAAAATATAAATAGATCTCTATCGGCCCTTGGTGATGTCATATCTTCCCTTGCAACTAAAAGCTCACACATACCTTTCAGGTTATATAAGTAACAATTAGTCCTTTGTTTGAATACTCTAAATGTGCAAACTGGCCAACTTATCGAGCTATAACTTTCTTTTACTAAATTATGCTTATGTGCAGGAACTCTAAGCTTACCCACTTGCTTCAAGACTCTCTAGGTATTTCAATGGGATCACAGAAGAAGTCAAAGATGAATCAACAATTCTAACTGAGTTGTTTAATGTTCCAACTTCACATTTATTTTTCTCCATTTACTTGAGATGAAATTAAACTTCTGATATATATATCCTTTTTTTGGTCCAAGATATCTTAGTTTATCAGACACAAAAATGTAAAACTAATGCATATGTTTTCTTGTTTTAGGAGGAGACTCGAAGACACTCATGTTTGTTCAGATAAATCCTAATGAAAACGATTTGAGTGAGACCCTTTGCTCACTGAACTTTGCAAGTAGAGTGAGAGGGATAGAGTTGGGTCCAGCAAAGAGACAACTGGACACTTTTGAACTTTTGAGATACAAACAGATGGTACAATTCTTTGCTTGACACAACTGCAGATTCCCATTTTTGTTTAACCTTATGTTTTGTTTTTATTCTGTGGTTGAATGCTTAATCTATTACATTTCTAACAATCTCGAATCTTATTTGCTAGTTTGAGAAAACCAAGCTAGATGTTAAGAGCAAAGATGTACAGATCCGGAAGATGGAGGAAACAGTCCATGGATTGGAATTGAAGATAAAAGAGAGAGACCTGAAAAACAAAAACCTGCAAGACAAGGTATTGTATAGCAAGTGTATTTTTTAATAGCTTTGTATGCATACAAGTAACAGAATTATAGGTACTAATCTAGTTCATTTTGCAGGTAAAAGAATTGGAATCACAACTTTTAATTGAGAGAAAGCTAGCACGTCAGCACGTGGACATGAAGATAGCTGAGCAGCACCAGCAGCAAGTGAAACATCAACAAGAGGAGCAAACTACAGCACCCACAAGGCCACCTCTTACAAACCGACCTTTAGCAGCCGTTACATTGGGAAAAGACCAAGTAAACCCTCTTCAACCACTAATGGAGAAGACCACCAACAAACCCCCAGTACCACTTCATACAATGGATGGTTTTGTCAAGCATATTGATCCAACAGAGAAAGAAAACAACCCTGAGATGGCTGAACAATTTCTTGTTCCGAAAAAAACTGGAAGGGCATCTATTTGTCCAATATTTCAGCGGATTCCAGCAACCTCTGCTCCAAGGCGCAACTCTCTAATCCCACTCCCAAGTGTACCATACCGTGTCCAATCCCCACCGCATGTATTACCATTGGCACCAATAGCATACGATGCTGATAAGAAAGTTGATGCAGATGTGTCTGAGACTGACTGCTTGCCTGAACAGACACCTTGTAGCAGTCCTAAAGTAATCAGAAATGGATGCAAGAAGCTAAACAGCATACTGAGACGAAGCCTCCAAAAGAGAACTCAGATAAAATCCCCAATGCCACCACACATGAGAAAAGGTGTGAATGTAGGGATGGAGAAGGTAAGGGTCTCAATAGGAAGTCGAGGGAGGTTGGCACACAGAGTGTTACTAGGAAATGGTAGAAGAGCTGGAACCAAAGAAAGTCAGAAGAATAATAGTCAAAGGGAAAAGGAGAGGGGATGGAATATGATTGGTACAGCAGGGAGAACTGCAATTAAAAGCTGAAGATGATGTATATGTAATTTGTTTAGCTATGGTCACCATAGGGGTTATATTCTTGTAGCCTGCACGCATGGGGAGAGAGAGGGAGATAGAGAGGTGGATTATTTTGGACGATACTAATTATTTGTTTATTTCTTATATTTGATCATCTTGATGCATCTACTAATGTACAGAATTACAAATTAAGTTTTGAAATGTCAAATGGTATGCGCTTTCTCGTGACACTTATCAAAATTCTTTTACAAAAAGAAGTTTTGGTGCATGGATATTTCTTTTGTTTTCTTGTTGTTATAATGAGACTGGCTAAACTTGTTAAAATACCAGGAACTGTTTTGTTGATAAAGATGAGGAACCCTGAAGTTCCATTGATGAAGAATTGAGTCTTTAGTAGAACATTATTCTCTTTCTCCTTCTTTTTATTAATTTTTTCTCTGTTGATTTTACAGTACAAAACAACATAATATTCGAAATAATAAATTAATCGAAAATACTTGTTTTGCTCAGCTATTCGATACTTGTTTCTCTGGGTCTCATTTATCAAAATAAATAATATAAAACCAGATCATTGAATGCTTTGCTTTATTAGAATGCCAGGGCATTGTTTGATTGATAAAGAAAGAAGTAAATAAAATGGGAACCCTTCTGCATTGTCCACCTATCCAACCATATTCGGTACTCTCTGTTTGATATCAATAAGCGTATAAACAGCATACTAGAGACTAGAAGATACGTAGAGAAGACAAGAGTCTATTTTGAATCAGTGTCCATCATCAATGTGTCCGTTCCAGGGATCAATGGTGTTACAGCTTTGCACACGGCGCTGACGGCAGTAACTTGTACAAGCAAAAAGGCTCAAGGTAACTTTTGTTGCTTGGTTGTTTTGATTTTGATTCTACAACTGTGACTGTTTATAAGATTTGAACTCAGAACCAAGGTAGCCTAAATGCTTTCTTTGTTGATTTTACTTAACAAAACAGCATAGAATCCAACATAATAAATTGATCTAAGGTACTTTTGCTCTCTAATTTGTTATTTGGTTATGTGGTCTCATTTATCAAAGGGGATAATATAAGACCAGATCATTTATCAAAAGTACATCACAACTCATCTTTATTCTTTTCTTACGCATAGCAATTTTTTTTCCTGTTTATTTGAATAAAAAATACACAGCAAAGTTGAGGACATACCGTGCAAGAGAGACAACCTAGTATCCTTTTTCTTTTTGAAATGGACAACCTAGTACTTTTATATATACAGTCATGGACTGATTCTACTGAATGTATGCAGTTTCCATCTTTTTAGATTATTTCATACTTTGAAGAGAGTTAGAGAGAGTTCATGTAACTTGATGGAGCCTTCCTTGCATGAGGCTGCAAGGTCGGGTGACGTTGGGTTCTTGAGAAGAATGAAAGACGGTGATGTATCAATTGACCTTCTTCTTCAGAAAACACCTAAAGGAAACAATACTCTTCACGTTGCGGCTGAATTCAAGCAAATAGAGTTCTTCAAAGAACTTGATGATCAGTCTTCGTTGTTTTGGGCTACCAACGAGAAGGGAGGCACTCCCCTGCATGTTGCTGCCAGAGGAGGCTGTGATCAAGTAGTAAAGTTCCTCATTGAGCACACAAAGAAGATGCTACATGTACAAGAAGCCGATGAGGAAAGCAGATCAACCGATAGCGAAGCTCATAAGCAGCTACTTCAAATGACTAATTTGCAATAATTAGTGAGATTCTGATCATGGCTGGTAAGAGAGAATAAATTAAAGCCGTAAGCAATACACAGCTTGTATTGCAATAATTAATAGGTGCTTTGCCCACTACTTTGAGAGAGAGAGAGAGAGAGAGAGAGAGAGAGACAGAGAGAGAGAGAGAGAGACCAAAGCTAGCTAGCCATAGCCATGGATCCTTCCCTGTATGAGGCGGCAACATCAGGTGATGTTGGTTTCTTAAGGGAAAAAATTAGAGATGGCGGTGCATCAATTGATCTTCTCCAACAGAAGACGCCTAAAGACAACAATATTCTTCATATTTCCGCTGAATTCAAGCAAATAGATTTCTTCAAAAATGTCGATGCCGATCAATTTGATCAGCTGTTTTGGGCCACCAACAAGAAAGATGACACTCCTCTACACGTTGCTTCAAGAGTAGGCTAAGAGTAGGCTGTCATGAAATAGTAAAGTTGCTCATTCAACATGCGAAGAAAAAGCTTCATCACATGGAAAGAGCTGATGGTGAATCTCGTAACAAGTTACTCCGAGTGACTAACTCGGATAACGACACAGCGTTGCATCTTGCTGTTCGATATAATCACGAGGAAGTTGTGATTCTGTTAATGAAAGCTGATCCTCGATTGTGTCGTATTACAAATAAAGCAGAGGAGTCACCCTTGTTCCTTGCTGTTAGAAAAAGATCTCCAAACATTGCTCATTGTATTTTACAGGCTTACGAGTCCGACATTTCTCCTTCTTTCCGAGGGACTAACGGACTGACAGCTTTGCATGTGGCAGTGACTCAAGAAAAACTCATAGACAAAGGTACGCAAACATGCAATCACCTAATTGTAAGAGCTTTCGAGCTCGATTCATTAGTATATGGGTATGCTTTGTGGTGTCATATTATATTAAATATATATATATATATATATATATATATATATATATATATATATATATATATATATATATATATATATATATATATATATATATATATATATATATATATATATATATATATATATATATATATATATATATATATATATATATATATATATATATATATATATATATATATATATATATATATATATATATATATATATATATATATATATATATATATATATATACACAGAGAGTTTCTATTGAGGAATTCTTTAAATTAGTTTATTTGAGGAATACCCTTGTAGGGCTCATTTCGTATTGTTTTTCACTAATCCAAACCGTCTATTTTGTAGATACTCATTCAAAGATCATCTCTACAAAAAATCACTTGAATCCGATATCTTTTGACCACTAAATTGAATTATTGAAATTTTAATACTTTCTTGAAGCACCGTGTTCATTGATTTTGTATGATACAATTAGATATCGAAACGGTTTCCAATTTTTCTAATTTTTTGCAAGAATAATCTATGATGTAGACTTAAAACATAGATGGTTTGGATCTTTGAAAAAAAAAATCATAGAGGACCCCAAACGGTGTCCCTCAAATTTTGAGGGATCCCTCAATATAAAGGGATTGTATATATATAACCTAAACGGCTCTTCATGCTGCAGTTTTATATGGAACTAACACTACGAAATCTGTTACTTTTATATAACAAGGATTGTTTTTGTTGACTATAACTCCATTTGGGTCCAGTAATGTTTATACATGAAACATGGTACGTAGGCGTTGTCAAGATGATGATGTCCAAAAATCAAGACATAATCAGAGAAGTTGATGCTATTGGATGGACCCCCTTGCACTACGCAGCATTCACAGGGCACGTTGAAGCGACTCGACTACTGGTGAAATGTGATAGCTCAACTTGTTACATGCTGGACAACTCTAAAATGTCAGCTCTCCATGTCGCAGCCTATGCAGGCCACACCAAGGTGATGGGGGAGCTAATTCGGGCCTGATACTTGTGATTTGCTTAACTCAAAAGGCCAAACGGCTCTTCATGCTGCACTTTTAGGTGGACAAAGAGGTGTGGTTAAGTACATATTAAGGACGCCTAAGCTTGCAGGACTTATTAATGAAGCTGACAAAGACGGAAACACTCCTCTGCATATGGCGGTTATTTACAAAAAGATTGAAATTATTGACATTTTGACGTCTGACCGTAGAGTGGACGGGACTGCTATCAATAAAAATCTCTCACAAGCCATTGATATTTTTCTTGGTCAATGTGTTGAAGAACAGGTACGCATGCAATAGATTCTATGTTCAAGCGGGAAACCATACAAAACAAAGAAGAAGAAAAAAAATAGATATTCTCCATATGGCCCTATCCATCTAATGATTAATGAATTAAAAATTGATCTATTAATTTTTTAGAGTAATATTAAGAGTTTATTACCCACTCAGTGAGTGAAGTTAGGTTAAAAAGAATCAGTCATTTTGACATGTTCTATGGTGTACTCACTCTCTCTCTCTCTCTCTCTAGGAATTTATCAACATATGTCCAGTGTTGCAACAGTTGGGGCCCTCCGTGGGTGGTACATTTTTCCAACAAAAAATCAGGAATGATTTCAACAAAGTAAAACCTTCGAAGAAGGATACGCCCTGCACACCAGCCGCCATTGGACATAAGAGCAACTCCACCCATTTGCCCCTTGCCATGGCAAGGGGGGGCTAGGGCAGCCACTATTCACGTGAATAGTGGTTGCCCTTGCAAATAGTAAATTTTGTGTTTCCACCCATTGCCATGGCTAAGGGCAATTACTATTCATTTTTTTGTTTTTTTCACAATTTTTTTTACCTCAATAATTAATTTGGATAATATTTTCGGATAAGATTTCCGGGTTCCTACGTGTCATGACTATTCATAATCGGATAAAATTTCGGGATAAGATTTTTGGGTTCAAATTTCGGATGAATTTCAAAATTCAAATTTCAGCTAAATTTGGGTTCAAATTTCGGATGAATTTCAAATTTCAGATAAGATTTTCATCCAATCAAATCAAGCCACGTGGCATCTCTATCTTGCCAAAATATTCTATAAAACCAGATGCTCAGCTCATACCTCTCACACCACATCTTTCTATATTTTCATTTCTCAGAGTTTAGAATTCATACTCAATTCATTCTCAATGGAAGATTTTAGGAGAAGCTTGGAGAGGCAAGAGCGAGAAAGAAATGAGAGAAATCGTAGAGCAGATGAAATCAATGAGTTGCAGAGACAAGTTGATGAACAAGTTGTCATAGCAGTGGCTTTGCGGCTTCAGTGACGCCCAAAGGCCACAACAAAGGTCCACTTCAAATTATTCCCATTGGACCAAGTCCAGTTGATATTTTTCTCAATATCTTCCAACTTTTTGTTATAGCATTTGCTCTCATCCCCGTTGTTACGTTTGTATATCAAAAGCTCAGGGAGAGACAAGTCAGCAACCGCGTAATTTAGAAGCACTTATCATAAGTGTTTGTTATTATTGGTTTATTAGTTATAAGTGTTTGTTATTGGTTTCCTCAACATAAGTTTTGTCAACTTTTTATGGTGTTTTTTGTTTTTGTTTCATACTTTTGTAGGGCATCCACAATGTCCCACCAAAATCATACATTATTAAGGGAACTCATCCACTAAGGAGCCCAAACAACCTTGGAATATCCAAATCAGAAAAATACATCTAGCACATCAGCAATTAGAGCATTTCTAGCAACTAGTTTTGGACTCGGGTTGGGGGGGTTTTGGGTGAAAAACGGGTCCCAGCAGCTAAGGCTGGCCCGAGAGCAGGTCCAGCCCCAGATCCAAAACTCGGGCGGGCTGACGTCATCAATGGTGTCAGCACGCGGAGTTTAAATTTTTTTACCGTAAACGCGCCAATGGTAAAAAAAATTTGAACTCCGTGTGCTAACGTCATTGATGATGTTAGCCCTGCGCGCGCCCAACGACTCTGGGACACGTGGCATCGTCTGGGCGCTCCGATCGCAGTTCTCTCTCCAATCCAACGGTAGCCAATATTTTTGCTATAAAAATATGAAAAAAAATCCGAATTTTTTTAAAAAAAATACCAAAAAATACTGGAATTTTTTTTTTTTTTTTTTTCTATAAATACCTACCACTACTCTTCACTTTCAACACCAAATCCTCATACATTTTCTTCTACCTCTACTATTATTCACTTTTTACTCAACATTTTATTCACTTTCAAGTTTTATTTTTCTTTATCATCTTTATGGCTTCTTCTATCGACGGTGTTGGGGCATGGAGCACCATGGAAGATGTTTTGTTCTGTGAGTGTTGGGTCCAAATTTCTCATTGTCCTGTCACGGGCAATGAGATAAAATTCTTTCAAATGTGGAAAAAAATTCATTCCGAATTTTGTGAAAGATCGGGTTCGACCCGTACGGAAATAGCATTGTCTAGTATGTGGAAAATTCTCAATAAAGAGTTGGGGAAATGGAGAAATGCTTTGGCAAAAGCAATGGACAACCGTAGAAGCGGGGAAAATCTTACCGATGAGGTAAATTATTTGTAATTTTTGTTTTATTAATTTTAATGTTCTCATTTTTTTTAATTATAAATGTTTCTTGCATTGTCAATATTTTGATAATATTTCATAAATACCCATTATTTTGTTAATAGTTCTTGCATTGCCAATATTTTTTAATGTTTCTTGCATTGCCAATATTTTTTTAATGTTTCTTGTATTTCCAATATTTTTTTATAAATAGATTGTGCAAGCACAAATGTGGTTTGGTGCTACTAGTCAAGGAAAAAAAATCTTTTAGCCATCATGAATGTTGGGAGGTAGTCAAAAATTGCAAACGTTTCAGAATTATTTCCACGGGTCCGACCATTGTGTTGAATGAGACGCCACTCTATAATTCAACGGCATCGGATTCGCCTCTCGATTCCCCGATGAGCGAAGACTCACCCATCCAAAAGGAGCCGAGGCCTATTGGGAGAAAGGCGGCGAAGGCGAAGAGAGTGAGTAATTCTACTAGTAATTCATCTAAATTTTTGGAGGAAATTGCAAGGCAAGGCGCCATGAGACTTGAAATTGAGAAG